CCAACCTTTTTTTTTTTTTTTTTGAGACAGAGTCTCCCTTGTTGCCCGGCTAGAGTGCCGTGCGTCAGCCTCGCTCACAGCAACCTCAAACTCTGGGCTCAGTGATCCTCCTGCCTCAGCCTCCCAGTAGCTGGGACTACAGAGCATGCCCACCACTGCCCGGCTCATTTTTTTGTATATTTTTAGCTGCCAATTAACTTCTTTCTATTTTTGGTAGAGACGGGATCTAGCTCTTGCTCAGGCTGGTCTCAAATTCCTGACCTTGAGTGATCTGCCTGCTGTGCCTCCAGAGTGCTGGATTACGCAGTGTGAGCCACTGCACCCGGCCTAAAACCAACATTAAATAAATGGTAGCAGGGTATTGCATAGGATTAAAGATTTATATTATCTCAGTACAACTATGTTACAAACAGCCATGGCATCATGAGTAATAATAGCATTGCTACCTTTTTTTGAGGTGAATGGTGTGAAATTAGTAAGGCATGGCTTATTTGATAATAAAGAAAACAAAGAAATGATTCCTGGACCAAACAAAAAGAGCACGACAGAGCGAAGAAGAATGTTTACATGCACTGATTGAACAATAAATAAAGAAATCTTCCTCAGGCCAGGCGCAATGGCGCCGCGCGACCTAGCACTCTGGGAGGCCGAGGCAGGAGGATCGTTTGAGCTCAGGAGTTTGATATAGCCTGAGCAAGAGCCAGACTCCATCTCTACAAAAAAAAAATATGGGAAAAAAAAAAAGAAATCTTCCTATTATTCTAAATCTTTATCAGTAAATCACTATACAGCATACACCTATGAATTTATGAGCTTTTTTTCTCATGATCAGATGTTTTATAATCCTTTTAAATTATTCTATAGTTGATAGGAAGCCCTGTACAAAATACTATGCCTGCAAACCTGCACACCTATAAGTCCACCTGGAACTGGGCTTGTGGAGAAGAGAACCTTAGAGAGAGATTTACCTGGTAGAGATTGTCACAGAAAACATTTAGAAACTTAGCTCGAATTTACAAAGAAAAGGTTCTACACTTAAACTATGCAAGGAAGGGGCAAAGAGAGCATCAATATTGTGCTTCTGCTTTCTCTGAGTTCCACTCATCAAAGATTAAAACCAAAATGGAATTAAATGGAAAGTTTCTTCTTTGCACTAACATAACTGGAATTTATTTTGAGATGTTTTTGTTGTTGCTGTTAAATGGTGATAATTTATTTAGTTGCCTGTGTATGGTAATCTGCCAATAAAGTAAAACAAATCAAATATCTTCAAGAACTTTAAAGTAAAGAACAGGCATTGAGAGTTTCGACAATTTGCAAATCGTGTTAAAACATTGGTTGTTGTCAAATTTTTGAAAAATGGGCTTCATTAGTTGTTATAACCGTTGCCACGAGGAAAATTATGAAGGGGGAAAAAAACTCCTTTCTAATCCACATCGCCAAGAGAACAAGATAAACTTTCTTTTTGCGCACAAAGAACAAACTCAGAGCAATATAAAATTCATCAGAGCGCAATTAAAATATTTGCAGACAACTTGACTAGTACTTTATCAGAAAATTCTGATGATCTTACCCAATTGGCTACAAGTCTATTTTTTTCAGCAATCTTATTTGTCTAACGTTTGCCACAAAGATTGCGCGAGGTATGTATGTAGAACGCCAAATGGGCCTTTCCAGTCAACAGATGCCTCCAAATCGAAATCAAACACTCAAAAACTAAACAAATCTCTGACAATGATAATAATGAAAACATAAACCCAAAGAAGAGGGGCTATCATTGGAGTTAGAACTTCAGATAGAACTTCAGATTCAAAATAGAGTCAGTGGTCTTTTGTAGTGTAATACAGTGTAGTATTTTAAGAGACCATCGTACGAAAAGGACCAGAAAAGTATAGAGGTGCCACGTTTGGTGACATAAGAAGTAAAACAAAGACAGAGTTAAGTAATAATTCCAGAATATGGTTGCAGTGTTCGAGCTGGATAAAAAGCAAGAGGCTAAAATCCTGAAAATACCAAGTCTTAGCAGGTAACC